GCTTATTATTCTAGTAGGATCTGAAAATCATTGATTTAAACTTCTATGTAAGTAAAACCCTACAAGTTTGAAAGGTTGGAAAATGTTGAATGCCGGATATGTAAAAATTCTGGAGAGTGTAATAAAAATCTAGTTCCTGATAGAAAAGACAAAAAACTTAAAAAAAAAAAAAAAAAAAAAAAAAAAAAAAAAAAAAACTTCCAGTCAAATTATACAACCAGTTTTGGCTTGATTATGAAAACTACATTAAATATTATACAATCAAAAGTCTTTAATCCGGACCTCAAAGCTACAAACTTTCTGCGCATGCCTAGACGCATAATGTGTTTACACATGCGTGTAATACCTTTATGCATGCGCATAATATGTTTACGCATGCATGTTTAATGTATAACGGACGGTATAAGCTAAGCTAAAATTATCTAATTGTCTATTTCAGTTAATGTTGTGGATTGCATTGTTCCTTAATCTTCTAATTGGATCCGGCTTATTATTTTTTGCAGACTGCTAAAGCAATTTTATAAAAGTAAGCTTGAACTTTCGATTATGTCAAAAAGAGTTTCCGATTCTGGAGCTGACAAAGGATCTACAAAGCGAAAGCATGTTTCGATGTCCATCAAACAAAAACTGGAATTGCTGCAAAAAATGGATAAAGGCATATCCTTTGTTTCTCTAACCATTCCGAAACCTGTTTATCAATTTCACGCTGCTCTGCAAGGGGGGAGATGTGGCTGCGCGCAATGAAGTCTGTCAGCACTATCCTTATCTTCAGGGCAGATGTTTTTATTTTATTCGGCTTATAATTCCTTACTAAATGTACTTTCATCTCGATGTACTCCGTCTTTGATATAGTTTAAATCAAGTTCCTCGTCATTATAAATATCACGAATACACATCAAATAGTTTTCTGGTTGCAATTTTCTAATTTCGACTAAATGTAAGCTTTATGCATGCAGGCATTGAAAGAAATGTTTAATAAAGTAAACAAATAAATATTAGGTTTTTTTTTGTAAATTTTGATACCTTTTAATAATTGCTCTTTATTTCATAAATTATGGTCTCATATTTTTAATTTTATAATTTCTGTATGCCATCTTACCAGATTTAAACTGATGATCTATAATCCGGAATCGCCGAAGTCCCGACGAGTTTGGATTAAAGACTTTTGACTGTAGTAGAACCAGAAAAAATTGCATGTCAGAAATAAAGATCAATATATTTTCACAGACCTTAAACATACAAAAGAAAAACATCTTATTCGATTATGAAATCGCATTAACCATGACAGTTGACAAAAATCCCACCAAATTTGCAGTCACATATTGTGCCCATTAATACAAACTTTTCTTAATGTCATGATTCCACACTTTTGTATGTACTCTACTGCATGCTGTTCTCTTTTGGACAAGTATCAGAGTTTAGAAATTTTCTCAAAATGCAAAAGGAAAAGAGATTAAATAGCAATTTACTTACATCCTTCTTTACAAAAACTAAACTGGTTCATTAAGATTTCATTGGGTTTACATAAAACTAAGGCAAAGATTTTATGATTGACATACATGTACCCATTATTGGTGCTAAATTGTACATTTTAGCAACAGTTTTTGTTTATGCCAAGCCTTAGTCCTATACTTTTTTCATGATGGCTTTAGAAGTCTCTCATCTGCTTAATTTTTCATATAAAAAGAGCGATAGATTTAAAAATACAGTCAAAAGTCGTTAATTCGGACATCCATAATCCGGACCTCAAAGCTACAAACTTTCTGTGCATGCGTCACGTTTACGCGTGCGCGCAAGACCTTTATGGCTGCGAATTTGCCTGTGCGCATGCGCAGAAACGTTTACGCATGCGCGTTTAAGCTAAGCTAAAATTATCTAATTCAGTTAATGTTGCAGAGTGCATTGTTCCTTAATCTTCGAATTGGATCCAGCTTATTATTTTTTGCAGACTGTTAGAGCAATTTTATAAAAGTAAGCTTGAACTTTCGATTATGTCAAATAGAATTTCCGATATATATTTACTAATATGTAAAGTATCTACAAAGCGTATGTTTCGAAGTCCATTAATCAAAAAGTGGAATTGCTGCAAAAAATGGATAAAGGCATATCCTTTGTTTCTTAACTATTCCGGAATCTGTTTATCAATTTCACGCTGCTCTGAAGGGGGGGCATTGCGGCGCACAATGATCTGGAAGTTGATCTGTTAGCACTATCCTTATCTTCAGGGCAGATGTTTTTATTTTATTCAGCTTATAATTCCTTACTAAATGTAGTATTTTATCTCGATGTATTCCGTCTTTGATACGATTTAAATCAAATTCCTCGTCATTATAAATATCACGAGTATACGTCAAATAGTTTTCTGGTTGCAATTTTCTAATTTCGACTATGTGTAATGTATGCTTTACGCATGCGCACGTTGAAAGAAATGTTTAATAAAGTAAACAAATAAATATTAAGTTTTTTTTTTTTTTTTTTTTTTTTTTTTTTGTAAATTTTGATACCCTTTAGATCATAATTGCTCTTTATTTCATAAATTACGGTTTCATATTTTTAATTTTGTAATTTCTGCATGCCATCTTACCAGATTTAAACTGATGATCTATAATCTGGAATCGCCGAAGTCCCGACGAATCCGGATTAACGACTTTTGACTGTATTTTATTAGGAAAGTCAATTCTTTATCCTTTATCAAATATCATGCAGTGGAATCCACTGGAATAATAAAAAAAAAAAAAAAAACTGGTCAGATGAAAAATGCAGTTTTATGAATGACAGTTATAAAGACAATTATCACCAATGAGGAAGTCGCATCAAATTAGCAACAGCTTGCATCAAATGAAATATGAAGAAAAAAAAAGCCGCAATTGCTATAATGTAAAAGTATTAACTTAACGGTGTTGGTGGAATATCTCTATAGGATTAGAATATCTGATAAAACTATATTTGATGGTGCCCCCTTGGCGATTTTTAGCAGTACATGGACACAGAGTTTATGCAATTCTTTGATTTGTTATTTTAGCTTTCTTTAGCGGTGATTTTCATGCCAAAAATCGCTGCTAAACAAAGCCAAAGAAATGCACAAACTCGGTATCCATGTACACATCGACCTATTTTCACTTAAAAAAAAATATCACAGAATTGCACAAACTTGGCACTGCACACAAAAAATATATACTTTCAATAAACTGCATTTTAAATCAAACAATGAAAAAACATAAAAAAGCACTATGCACTACACAAAGGAAATGACCAACTACCTTATTTAGAAATTTCTTTGTCTTCAGTCTGTGGCACAAAAAATTCCTAAACAGCATCCAAAAACTTTCCTCAAACCATGTTCCCTTTCTAACGGAATGCTTTATATGGTGGCCATTTGAATCTTTCTTGCGATAAACCCATTGAAAGCCATCTGAACGATCTTTACATTCAACCATATGTATTTCCTTTGTACAAACAGGACACTTATAACTGCTACTAAGTAAACCTTTATTTACATACCAATCAATTAATGCTCCCCCCTTTCGTTCCAAATCCTATAGAAGTTTCAAATTAATCTTACCACTTTCTGCCATTTTATACTGTAAACCACAAAATAAGCAACTTCCAAGCCAACATCCAACACACAAACAAGCCCTTACAAATCTTTTGCCATCAGTCAAATTCACGCAACCAATGGCAAATTTTCAAACTTTATTTTCTCTTACCGTAATGTTCGAAAAGTAAACAGAAAATTTCCCTTTTCCTCCTTCAGGAAAATTCCCTGTGTGGGTTGCAACAATTATCAGGGTTACCATATTCTGGTGCACGTACGCTCACTTCCGATGTAAACAAATTCGCAATTTCGCCAAGTGCCGGTTATGGAAACATCCCCAACCAATAACGTCATAATAGGGTTTTCATAACATTCAACTACTTAGGTTACCATAAATGAAACAACAACTTGGCGATAATCCAACGGGCACCCTTTACTCAGGTTCCCATAAATGAAACAACTTGGCAAGGGCACCCTCAAATATAGGCTAGCAAAATATCTCAAATGTTTTTGTTTGTGTGATGCTTTTATTTATTATACTAGAAATTATTCTTTGATTTATTTTAATAGGCGTTTTCTGCCAGTCATGGACTCGTAACTAATCGAGAGACTTTATGATTTTAAGAGGTCATCTTTAATTCAGATTAGTAGACTAAATTGCATTAAGCTCATAGCAAAAATGAAGCTGAAATCTTGTGACCAAAGATGCTGAACAAGCTAAAACTTTGGCATTACATAAGTTTAGTTGAATCAATAAACATTTCCTTATAAAAAATTCGGGGAAAGTGCAGAATTGCCCACTGCTTGGCGCGTTTTTAAGAACTGCACTAACTCGGTATCCATGTGCACATTGACCTATTTTCACTTTAAAAAAATCCCAGAGTTGCACAAAATGGCATTGCACACTCCCTTTATCCATGTACACATACACCTATTTTCACTTAAAAAGTCAAAGAAAATTGACAAAAATCCAATTCTTACTCTTGTAAAAAGCGCCAAATAAAGAATTGGTTGATTCTCCACTTTAAGCCAAAAATTCAATTTTAAACTTTATGTATTACTTGAAACTATTTGGATAAATAAAAACCAAAAAATTAAATAATGACATCAAAATACAGTTTATGAAAAAGACTCTTTGGAGGCAATTTATTGAAGGGATAGGATATTAAAGCAAGCATTCTTTTCAACTACAGCGAAAACCATATTTTACAATCACGGCGAAAAGGCTTCAAATTTCAATTTAATTTTTAAAAAATTAAAGGCCTTAATTTCTTAATTTCACACGTAGTTGCTGATCGTTGGGTTCCACATTTTATAGTTTAAATTATGTTACAAAATGAAATAAAACATGCCGAATAGCAATTTAATGCTATTTATATATTTATATTTTATATTTATATTTATATTATTATTAAATAATTAATAATAAAATTAAAAATAGCATAATTATTTAAAGCAAACTCACCTTTCAGTTTCAAATACAGTAGAAACAATATGAAGTACTTTTAAATCTTTGAAGGGAAGATTTTAATGAATAGAATAAAAAGGTCAGTTTCTAAAAGAAAGTACAACTGCTTATTAATTGTGATCGGGTTTAATACTTGAAACTGGTTTAAAGTAAAGTATTAAAACATTAATGCCGTCATACAGAAAACAACGACGGCAGAAAAATTATCCTCTTTTCGCGCTCAAATATATAATTTCACTTCAGTTGGTTTCAGCACACGAAATTTTAGGCTTCAGTATTTGTAATTTCTTATATTACTAAAAATTTTTATTATAACTAGTTGTTTGTTTGAGGGTAATATTTCGAGATTTTATTAAGTTCTATTTTACCAAAACAAAATGATTGTCATAATATAAATTACGATGGATTAGTAATATAGTTTTATATATTAATTTTAACTAACTTAATAACCTTTGTTAATTATAAAAGTACGTTTAATTAAAGTCCTTGATTGAAGCTGTATTCAGCGTCAGTCCTAAAAAGTTTATTTCAATCTTTAATGTAACTGCTACTTATGTAAACAAACAAAATTGTCACGTGGAGAGCGCGAGTCCTGTTTGTTTAGTATCGTATTTATTTTCTGAGTGTGCTAGGAAAGTGTGTATATGCTTCTTATTTAAGTCTTGGAATAGCAAATTTTCTTCATTCAGATGTAAGTGAACTGTAAAATTTAACGTTTGTATCCTTCTCAAGCAGAATCCTTCCTGGTAGAAGTATTTTAGAAATGTTTGATGTACCATCTGCACACGAGAGAGTAGTGTAGTCAAAGAATGTCTGTACATATTCTTTGGTGTAGTAGTACCAGAGTGCCTGAGTCAAGCAACAGGCACTTGGGTTCGCCAGAACCAAACTTTCTCATTACTAACGTATATTTTTTCTCAGGAAGAAAGCTACGAAAATGCTGTTTTGCAAAGCTGCATTGACAATAAATTAACTTCGTCGGAAACAGTCAGGGACTGCTATTCATACTGTCTTGAACTGATTACTGATAGAATACTACCTGCAATTCAACGAAATTTGACGGTGTCGGCTGCGTTGTAAGGGTCGTTGAAGGAACGTGGATCATTGGTGTGTTCCTGAGAAAAACAAAAGATTTCTGACTGAAAATATGTCCGAAAAACAATAGATCTGCGGCGACCTTGATACCCCTAATTAAAAAGCACGTGGCTGAGGGATCAACCATCATAACTGATAAATGGCGGGCCTACTCATCTTGAGCCAGGAATTGATATTATGTGCACCAGACCGTCAATCATTCTACCAATTTTTTTAATCCTGTAACTGGTGCACATACCCAGTCCATAGAGTCAAACTGGAGGCCTCTAATAGTGAAACTGCAAATAAGTGGCATTCACAATAAAAAACCTGGCAGATCACCTGCTAGAAGTCATAATAATAATGATCCATTCACAGAAATTCTGAATGCAATCAAGAACTGTTTTCCTGTTATATAACAGGTCTCCCGCAATTTCCTTAACAGCACAGTTTTTTGAAGAAAAAAAAAAAAGGCCCTTTTCAGAGCCATACAAATTTAACAAAAGAGATATGAAGTATTGCTAAGCCTAAAAATATTACTATATATATTTTAATTTATATTCTTTACCATGTTTAATTAATTAGTTAGTATGTCTTTTCCTGCTAACTCTAATTTATGTGCTTTAAATATCATGCTTAACCATTTGATATTATGTCTTTTCCTGCTAACTTTAATTTATATGCATTTAATATGTTTCTTTAATTTATATGCTTTAAATATCACAGTAAACCTGTTTATTTTACTTCCATATGCTAAATATCTTGTAACTTAACTGTACGCTGCTAAAATCATAGCCGATTAGCTGTTGGCAAGTAAATATGCACCACTGCCAACAGATCCTTTGCGGAAGAAAACCTCTAGGTGAATAATAATGTATATGTTGCTGGCAATGTTTGAAGTGCAAGCTCGAGAGCCGAATGCAGTTCTCGCATGAAGAGAGTAATTATTTTTTAAAAAGATAGAATACATTTTCTCTTCATGTTTGCATATTGCCATTTTGAGTGTATCTTTCATCTTTTGAAATTAAAGTGTTAGATAAAGTCATTGCTGTGTTCCATCAATGGAGTTTGCTTCAACTGTGAAACAAGTATCACAGGACCCTACCCCTAATCGAATAAATAAATAGTTTTGAATTACTACAACAAGAAATAACTGAATAGGAAATAGAGTACATATTTGCATATTTTTAATGGGTTGAGGTAAAAGTAATTATCAGTTATTTAGATTATGAATTAGAATAGTTAGAGCAAAGTTTCGAAAAAAGACCTGAGAAATGCTAACTGAGGAAGCTAGATACTGATCAAACTGGTGGTAACACCTCTTAACTCTCTGACTGCTCAATTTGTGGACCAAAATTGCTTAAATTTTCTTTTTTGGGTGTGTGTGTATTTTAAATCTATATACATTGAAGAACTGAAAAATGAACTTTCTAGAAAATATTTTGTATATAGCTTTTATCATGAGAAACTAAGCTGCTAGAAAAAACAATTTCAGATGTTATCACCAAAAAAAAATTTTTTTAAATAAATTTCAGTCGAATTGCAGTTAATTTCTATTTATTGCGTAAAATAAAAAAGCAAAATGTGTAAAATTTAAGAAAATAAAAAGCACCGAGGAAAAAATACCTTAGAAATGCAGTTTAGTATGATAGAGAGTTAAAGGCAAAGTCCAACTTCACCGTCTTTGCACCAGATTCAATAAATCTAATAAATAATTCAATAATTTAATTAAATAATCAAGATAATTGCTGAATTGCTGATTCAATTAATAATTAATAATTGATAATTGCTGATTGAAGATAATTGCTGTTTGTTTTCTAGCAGCCATTTCTGTAAGTTTTTTCTTACAGAAAGGGCTGCTAGAAAACGTTTGCTGCAAAAAGTGAAGTTTGAGCAGTAATACCATGTGCCTTCAAATACGCAATTTAGTAGACAACTAATGATATCTGTTGGCCAAAACGTAAACTAAACGTCTGATACTGTATATAACTTATTTCAATGGTTAAATCGAGGAAAAATGGGATGTGCTCCCCAATAAAGGAAGAAAAACACATGCCCGCAGAATGAGCAGATTTTGCTACATTTGAGTTGCTTATGAAAATCTCAGGATGAGCAGCCAGAAGGTTAAATCGCAGTGAACTTAAACAAACAAGTTAGCAAATACTAATGTGAAAAATATACATCACAATATATCATAAGCTGATTACTTAGATGAGAGTTGAACATAAGAGAAAAACACACATGTTGCATGTAAAGATACATATAATAGTACACCTTAACCCTCTCGGATGAATTTTTGTCGTCTATTTAACTCTGCACCTCGTTCAAGGTTTCCTTTCGGCTTTTCTATGATGTTTAATTGTTTATTTAGATGTGGGCTAACAGATGACGTTAGTTGTCCACATTTCTGCCAAATATACAAAGTACGTAAAGTAGCATTTTGCACGCGCTTTTCAGAGCTCAAAGATGTCTGGCCGGAAGCATTTCATGAGTGATATAAACTATATTCCTGATGATATTTCTGACACTGATAGTAGGTTTGACTCTGATTTCAAGTATATTGAAGGTAGTTATAGTGAAACTGATGAGACTTTCTCAGATTCCTCTGCAGATATTGATGAATCTGAGAATTCAGTTTCTATTGAAAACGTTTGACAGTGGTGCAAAACTGATATGCAAAATATTACATTATGCAAATATTTTCATTAGTATATATGTTTTACCTTTGTATTTTATAAAATAAATCTTAATTTAACCAATATTAATTTTCAAAATTTTCCTTTTGTATCATTATAATTCAATTTCAGTATTCTGACAACCTTTTTCTATGATCTAATTCTAGATTGGAAAAAAAAATTCTTTTACAAAAATTTTTTGTATATTTTGACTAAAATATATGCAGATTTGGAATATGTAATAAAAAAAATACACAATTTTTGAACCTATTTTGATAAAAAAAAGTATGCAGTGAGAGGGTTAATCAGTAATTACTAAGAATGCCTATTGGCCATTTACTTTAACACGGCTCATTAACATTTTAACATTGTAATCATACACTTGAAGGCAGGACTCTTAATTAATTTTTGATCACTATAGAACTTTTGAGCAACACAGCAATAAAAAGATCTTAACAGTTTAATATATATAGTTCTTGGTGTAACTTGCGGCTTCTCGCATATCATGAAGCATCAGAGATTTGCCTCAAAACACTGACAAATCTTTGGGACTTTTTTTGAAGAGATTTACATGAATAGGTCCATACTGGGCAGGCATAGCATAATATGGGATACAGCAGGGACTTATATATAAGTAACTTGCTGTCTATAGAAAGAATACTGTTTCGAACTTAAAGGTTCATTCAGAGTTTATCTGAGCTAATGGAGACAACTTATGTAGCTGACCCATTTCCAAAACCAGTTTTTCCCATAGAGCAGCAAGTTGAAAAATCTGAACTGCATGCATAGTGGAGGTAGGTGACACGTGGAACTGACTCCATTAGCGGAGATAAACCCCAGTCCTGAATGACTCATTAAGGGAAATAGTGTATGTTTACTCACTCGAAACTTTCTGATAATAGATGCGATGTGTGGTTTCTATGAGAGAGTATTACTGAAGATCACCCCAAGATAAAGGACTTACATGACCCAGGGGACCGATACTCTGTAAAGTTAGAAATTCTTCTTGTTCTTAGTGACTTGTATGGCTTCTGTTTTTTCAACAGTCACCTTGATTTTCCACTTGTTGAGCTAAGTCTCAAGTTTGTGTATGTAATCCTGTAATTCATTCTATAATTGGACTAACAAATGCACTTTGTGCGAGGATAGCTATGTCGTCAGCATACATGGCGAGTATTGTGTTGGGTATAGTGGAGATGTCATTCACGTATATACTAAAGAGTGTGGGATCAAGAAGGGGCTCCAAGAAAAGTTTGAGGTACTTGTTATAAGTGATAAGTTATTGTTTATAATGTTTATAGTTATAAAGTTATAGTGCTTAGAAAGTTAGTATTGTAAGGCCATTTAGCATTCATATTTGTTTCCTTAAATATAAATGCTGTTTTTTTTTTTTTTTTTTTTTTTTTTTTTTTTTTTTTTTTTTTTTTTTTTTTTAAATAAAGGGAGAGTTGTTTGTACATTTTTAGCTTTAGTGTGAAAAGTGTGCTTCATACTAACCCTGACATAATCCAAAGCAGATTTATGTGGAAGACAAATCATTCTTTTCTTGTCATTAATTTTGATTGTTCTAAAACTTACACAAGGTGAAAAGGAAAATATTAATTTTTACCATAACTTTTTAAGTTCTAAGAATAGTAAATATAAAAGGTTTTATCTTGCATTTAAATTCTTTTTCAGAATTTCAATGGCTTTGCGAACAGCTAAGAAAGCTCTCAGATTACAACTTAAGCAAAAACTGAAAAGTATGTCTGATGCAGATAAGCACCGGCAATCTCAACTAGTAACTACAAAGGTATTCACAGAAATGAGAGTTGATATTACTAAATGTTTATTATTATTATTTTAAATGCTATTTTCTATTTATTAGTTATTTCAGAACAAGCGCTATTTAAACAGCCAACGGATAAGTGTCTATTTAAGCAGAGATATTGAAGTTGATACAAGACCTATTTTAGAAAACATATTTAGCTCTGGGAAGGAATGCTTCATTCCAAGATATGAGTAAGCTTCATTTCTATTAATTGTACACAATATGTTTTATTAATCATTTGCTATATTATTGATTTATCATAACTGTATTGTATTTTAAGTTTTGTACTATGTGATTGCATTGCAGAATTAGTTGAATTTTTAACATATATGGAAGTAATTAATTACATGGAAATGTTATTTATATCAATACTTTACAGAGTTACACTTTTTTTTATTGTTGCTTACTATATTTTATGTCATTTGCATCTTTTAAAAATTCTGTTTAATCAAAAACAAGGATTCCACTGTTGTGAAGTCTAAAAAGTATTTTAATTATTCAGTACCATTGAGCTGTTATGTATTTTATTTTTTACCAATAATTTGTTTACTTGTAGAATCTCAGAATGAAAATAGAGTGTGCTTATTGATAAAGAAACTCTGGTACTTTTCCGTTATACGGGCACCACGAAAAAACACTGTTAAAATGTATAGTAAAGTGCCAAAGATAGCAGCAATGTGATCAGCTAAATCATCTCGGTTACGCGCTATGTTTTGCAGCCCCCTCTTTTTTTTTTTTTTTTTTTTTTTTTTTTTTTTTGTAACCGTGTGAAACATAATTTGATAGATGACTAACTTTGTATACATTATCTGACTAAAAGCACTTCTTATAGGACAAAAAAAGGGATTTCACAATCTGGGATTTACCTAAAGATGAGGAAAAGGCAGGAAATTACTGCATCATAAAGGAATTCTTCACAAGCGAAATTTTTTAAAAATAATCAATAAATGATGTTGTTTTTTACCAATTACAATACACTAAAATGGTGTTGCAAACTTAGATCTTACCAAGAAAAATAGCTGCCAGATTTCACATATTGTTTGAAGGATCACTCCTGTTCCTTAAAGCTCAGCTGCAAAATTTATCTACTGTTGGTGCCATGCACTGACCGCAGTTGAGTTTTCAATATGCAATTAAAAATTAACCACAATATGTTCATTTTCTGAAACAATTATATGCAAATGGTTTGTGCTCATGCCTTGTTATGCAGACCTGAAATGAAAAATGGTAGAAATAACATAATAGTAAAGGTTGACAAAAGTCTTTTTATAAAAAGAAAGAGTGTACATTGGACGTGTTCTTCCTTCACAGTGGATTTTTGGAGGCATTTGTGAAGGAACAAAAGAATGTTTTGTTGTAGTCATTTTGGATCGCTCAGCTAAACCTTTACTTGGCGCAATTGAAAACAGTGTCACAGATGGTAATGCAGTTTTTGCTAATTGCTGGCAAGCATACAAAATAGAGGATTTCAAAGATGCAGGATATGATCATATTACAGTTAATCACAGATACAATTTCATAGACCCAAACACTGGATGTTATACGCAAACATTTGAAAGAATGTAGGTGAGTGAAAAATGGCATAATAAAGGCAAAAGTGGCACTTCAATAAAGGCAGAGTGGCAAAAGTGTTGCGACGATTACATCAGAAAAAAGAAATTTTTTTCAAAAAGCTGTAAAACATCACTAAATTCATGGCCCCTGTTAACATTTAAATTGTACAGTACAAAGTCTGAAATCCGGACTCGTCAGGAACGTTGACAATTCCAGATTTGAGATTTTTCTGGATATTAAATCATCAGTTTAAATTTAGTAAGATTGCATGTAGAAATTGTAAAATAAAAAATATGAAATCGCAATTTAGGAAATAATGAAGTATTTATGATCAAAATTGTCAAAAAAAAAAAAAAAAAAACCTTAATATTTATTTGCTTGCCTTATTAAACATTTCTGTCAATGTAAGTTGTTTAAGTTGCTTCTTTTTTGTGCTAATACTTTCTCTTTAACTCTGCAGACAGACATAATCTCTTGTTTAGTTACATTGTTGAAGTCCTGTAACTACTGTTTCGAGAATATTACTGAAGATCACCCCAAGATAAAGGACTTACATGACCCAGGGGACCGATACTCTGTAAAGTTAGAAATTCTTCTTGTTCTTAGTGACTTGTATGGCTTCTGTTTTTTCAACAGTCACCTTGATTTTCCACTTGTTGAGCTAAGTCTCAAGTTTGTGTATGTAATCCTGTAATTCATTCTATAACTGGACTAACAAATGCACTTTGTGCGAGGATAGCTATGTCGTCAGCATACATGGCGAGTATTGTGTTGGGTATAGTGGAGATGTCCGACTAACTTGTCAATAGAAATTTTCTCGTTTTCAGTAACTTTGTCAGGAGCTGTTTGTCGTTTGACTTGCTTCGGAAATATAACGTGTCCTGAATAAGAACAGAGAGCTTACTAGAGCTATGTTCTAGTATGTGTGGAATAGACGACACAAGCAGGAAGGATATACTGAACCCTTTATTCTCTATTACTTTACAGGTGCTCCTGTACTTCGGGATACAGAGACCAACCACTTGTGATCTGAATGTAAAAATATGAAAACTACTAACTAAAACTCTAAAAGCTAACTTTGAATTAGTATACAAATGCCTAACACTAAGACTAGCACCCCATATTTTAAAAGGGTACGTAGGTAGTGCGCAAACTGCTGAAACTACAATACGTTTTAAATATCAAGAGGACTAAACCTCTGGCCTTAATGGCAAGCAGCAACTGATTGAAAACTCGTAAGAATGGCAGTGGCAAGGTGGCTCACTTCCTCTCTCTCTCACTCTTTGCAAAAAGCCACAACTTAAATACTTGGGCGTTAGCAAGTACAATTTGCATAAACAAGTTAAAGCATTTAATTCTGGCTGGAAGGGGAAAATAAGAAAGATAGTAAAGTTTTAAAATAAAATAAACGTTATTAAAACTTAGGATCCTCACATACTTCCCGCCAGAGTTAATTAGTTTGAAACTGAGGTCTAAACGACCTTGTTGAAAACTTTTAGCTCTAGATTCTAAGTCTAACGCGAGGCCAATATTTTACAACAACTGCTCACTAAAACTATCTAACCTAGAAATTAAAAGGTCGTTTTACAATATCATCTCCATGGACAATTACTTTTCATCTGTGCTGCATCTAAAAACAAGAGTTTTTCTTAGTTGAATCTGGTTCTTTTCAGAGATCTGGAAGGAAAACTAGTTTAATGACATGTTAAACAATTAAATGGCAAGTAACATGAACACGTATATTTTTCTTTTAAAACTATATTCTTTTTTCATTCATACCATTATTTAATTATTCCCTGTGCTCTCTGACACGTGTTGTAAAGAGAAACACCAAACATGTGCGTGTTTATGTACAAGCGTTCAACACTAACACCTACAATTAAAACACTAACGTGTTAAAATCCAACATAATAAGACCTCAGAACACACCTTAAACTTCATCTCTGTACCCTGAGGTACTAGTCTTAAGAAGTGGCTAACTCTGAAGTGTAGCATCAGAGAGTCTAACTATGCTTATTCAACATTTAGCACATATTCACAATGCATAACTCTTTTTTTTTTTTTTTTTTTTTTTTTTTTTTTTTTTCAGCCATACCAATAAGTTAAAACTTTGGCATTTAGAGAACATTTTCATTTTTAACATATCACAGTACTTCTTAGCTTTTAAGATAACAGTTCACATTGTACATAAGAACATGTTAACATGCCATTAATTTTATGCATTTCAAAACATACATTAGTAGTAAAATGTTTTGTTAACTTCTATTTCTTCAAAGCAAGTGCTAATTCTTTTACATTTAAATACTGCATTTGAAAAGTCCTTCAGACTAAAATTTCTTTTCTTGACAGAATCTTTTAAATAAAAATTTATATAATATTTTTACAATGTTCTTAAGGTACCTTTCTTATAAATTACAAAAGCTTTTACGATACTCAAGTATTTACACATTACTATTATACAATAATTTTAGATTACTCGCAAGTAGTTGAAAAACATAGTAACAAATAGGTAAACTCAATTTCTTGCCTTTTTGGCAATAAAGGTAGATCTTGCATGAGGTAAAACTTTTCCTTACAATCCACTTGCAGTAAGAACAAAAATTAACTTTGAGTTTCAAAGTAACATAAAGTTTTACTTATCTTTACGATATTCAGATATCCTCTTAGCCGCCTAGTTCTGGAAGGTAGCGAAGACCATTATCTAGTTTATCCTACGTCTTGTGCGGGTTTGCCTATCAGTTTCTTCCTCAATGCATTTTCTTTTTGGCATGCTTGATGGCTCTTGAAAACCTTCTTCTTATCTGCTGATTGTACTCCCGGACGCTTGATGGGTGCTCTCCTTGGAGGTATCGGGACAACTCTCTCTGGTTGTTGCCTGAATCTTGTTGCTGACTACTCAAAATTTCATTGCTTCCTTGCATCTGTAGCTTGCTTTCCGTGTTCGATTAGCGGACATTGGCTGCGTAGAATTCTATCTGATGGTTCACTCTTCCGCTTTTTAGCAGTGTTATTGTTGTGGCCATTTCTCCTGGCTCTCTTTGCATTACGAGAACTTTTCCCTTCTTCGTGTTGGGCGCGGTCATGCCCTCTCTTTTCTGGTCGAGGGAATGGTTTCTTTTTCTTATTACCTTCAGTATTCTAACGGGGGAACTCTCTACTCTTGTTTACCTCTCTACTCGTAGCTGACTCTTGCGGTTGTTGTTGTGCCACCTCTGGAGATTGTGTCTGCCGTGCTGGAGCCTGCAAAAGATCTTTGAAGATTTTCATTTTATTACAATTAAAAAATGGTTTGATTTGATCAATATCTGCCGTGAATGTTTCACCATTCTTGGCTTTTAACACCACTACAGCCTGAATTACTTTTTCGATCACATATGGTCCTTCAAATCGTGGACAGAACTTCGCTATTTTATCATCTGGTGCTGAAGAAAGTGAATGCTTAATTTTTAACACTTCGTCCCCTACATTATAAGTTACTCCCCGTCGTTTCATGTTGTAATATAATTTCTGTTTTCTTTGTGTTACTTCCATGTTTTTTTTTTTTGGCACATGTCTTCAAAAATGTTACTTACAAACTGAGAACCATTATCCGATATAACTTTAAGGGGCACCCCATATTTTAAAATATATTTATTTAAAATAGAATCAGTAACTAATTTCGCAGAGGCTCGTTTTAAGGGAACAATTTCGGTCCATTTACTAAAATGGTCAACTATAACAAGGAGACACCGACTTTTATTTCACTGACTTCTCGGGAAAGGGCCCAATAAATCGATGCCAGTTATTTCATTTGGAAACTCTGATCTAATGCTTAGAAATCCAGCCGAGTGGATATTAACATAATTAACTGCTTGACATGTTGGACAGGACTGGACATACGATCTTGTTAACTTTTGCAGCTCAGGAAAATAAACTGCTTCGCGTACGCGTTGGATGGTTTTTTCGAATTATACTATGAGATGCCAACGGTGAATCATGCATTCCCTGCAGTATATTTAATCTAAGACTAGCTGGGATAACAGGTCGAAATTCGTTGTTGGAATTCGTAGTTTTTGTATAAAATAATAGACCATCTATTAGTTCGTAATGGGCCGCCCTGTTTCTTATCACCACAATATCTTGGTGGCTAAAATTTTCAGGATCTTTTAAATAATCATATATATTTTTATATTCCGGATCCTTACTCAGTTCGGTTATTACAGTTTCCTGGGAATGTATAGTATATGATGTGAGCATTGCCACCTTCACGGTGTTACCTTCTTCATCTACTTTTATTCTTGATAGGGCATCTGCTGCGACATTTTCCTTTCCGGGCGTGTGCTTAATTATCAAATTTGATTGCCCATCTTATTAACCTTGGGGATAAGTTCTTCCCTGAATATAATCTAGTTACCGCCACATGATCCGAATACATTGTTACTGGCGCATTTCCAAAATACACTCGGAACTTCTGCACTGCTAAGAGAACTGCAAGTGCCTCTCTCTCAATCGCGGAATAATTCTTTTGAGTTTCATTTAAAGTTTAACTAAAAAATGCCATGAGCTGCTTATTTTGGGAAAGTATTGCTTCTACAGCATAATCCGAAGCGTCCGCCAAAATTTCTAAATTCTCGTTGTTCTCAGGAAATTTCAAAACGGGGGCTTGTGTTAACGCTTGTTTTAAGTTTTCAAAAGCACTATTGGCTTCGGCCGTCCACAATTTTAACAATGGCTCAGCAATAGTTTCAAAGTTTTTTATAAAGAACCTATAATATGAACAAAGTCCTAGAAAAGAAGACAGCTTCTTCGCCGTATTTGGTGGCAGATAGTTTTGAATTGCAGTTATTTTTGATTTGTCCATCTCGATTCCTTTCTGAGAAATTTTATATCCCAAATATCGTAATTCAGTGGCTGCAAATTTTCACTTTTCAACATTAACTTTTAGACCAGCCTCATTTAATAATGAAAACACCTCTCTCAAATCTTTTTATATGTTAAATTATTATTATTAATTTTATATGTTAAAGCAAATTATCACTAGTAATAATGATATCGTCTAAATATATAAATGTGTTCTTTCCTAGAATAGGTCTTAACACAATGTCCATACATCGCTGAAATGTTGCCGGTGCCCCTGAAAGGCCAAACGTCATACGCAAGAATGCATAAGTGCCTGACTTAGTTATAAAAGCAGTCTTAGGCACATTTTCTGGTTTTATGCCTATTTGGAAATATCCTGATGTTAAATCTAGCGTAGCCATATATTTTGTAGAAGTTATGTTCCTTAAGATTTCTTCAATAATAGGTAACGGATGTACTGGATATTTCGTAATGCTATTCAATTTGCGATAGTCAATTGCGAAACGCCGCCGTTTTGGTAAACTGGATTATTGTTATTTTTCTTACATAGAACAACCGGGCTGGCATAACTGCTTGAGATGGGCGCTATGTCTTTTTACTTAGCATACCTCGAATGTGCCACTCTATAATTTTTTCTTTAGTATTATCATTACGATATGGCTTGTAGTGAACTGGCAGTGAATCTCCTGTATCGATTTCATGATTTGTAACTTGCATAAATCTGGGAATATCACTGAATAAAGTAGAAAATTCACCTACCACTTGGCGAATTTTTTCTTGCTCTCCCATAGGCAGGTGGTGGAGATTTAATGTGCGAGGTTCCGTTTTTACTTCCAGCACTGGTTTCATGGTCAGCTTAAGGGATAAAAACTACTAACTAAAACTCTAACTAAAAGCTAACTTTGAATTAGTATACAAATTTCTAACACTAAGACTGGCCTTTTTAAAAGGGTACATAGGTAGTACGCAAACTGCTGAAACTACAATACATTTTAAATATCAAGAGGACTAAACCTCTGATCTTCAAGGCAAGCAGCAATTGATTGAAAACTCGTAAGAATGCAGTGGCAAGGTGGCTCACTTCCTTTCTCTCACTCTTGGCAAACAGCCACAGCTTAAATACTTGGGTGTTAGCAAGTACAATTTCCATAAACAAGTTAAAGCATTTAATTCTGGCACCATATGTAGAAAATAAGAAAGAAATGTTTTAAAATAAAATAAACGTTAATAAAACTTAGGATCCTTACAACTTCTCTGTCACTTTCTTCACTATCAGTAGCGGTATTTTCTGGATCTAGAACCGTGCTACAGATTTCACCATTCATTAATTGATTGGTGATTGAGAAACATTGCCATCACAATGAAAAACTTCTTTTATATCATCTTCATTTATTACCGCTTCTGCACATTTCTTTACAAAATCCATTAATTGGAAAGTTTCACTTTTGTTTTGCAATATCCGAAAAAACCTTTAAAATTAGCAGCTATCATCATCAAATTTAGCTATTCTTCACTATACATATTACATCATGAGCTTGGTGATTAATGACAAGTTGTTCCATTAAATTTTATTTTGCTTCTATCGTGCACGGAGACAATTAAGCCTGAATTGTATTAGTTTAGTTATTTATTATATTTATGTCTATTTCGGCTTATCAGAGTTCTGAATAAATAAATTCCCACCATATACTTAAACCTTACTGAGGGCCGGCGCTAGATATCTTACCACCTGATGCAGTCTCTGTGGGTCCTAAATTCTGGGACTCGATGTGGCCATATGAACCCTTGTGCTGGTTCTGGATTTATGTGAATAACAAATCAGTTATTCTTAATTCAAATAGCCCTACATGTAATCTTTGGGGTCTATGAGTATCATCAACAAAATCTATTTTTAGCATATGGAAAGAAATTTTTGGTAAATTCTTCTTTGTCAACATTTTCTAGTGCATTTAACTTAAATCTGTAATCATCGCCAAGCGTAATGTCAACAGAAAAGGTTACCACAGTCCTTTATTATTCCATTACTAACATAAAAAAATTGTTAGGCTATATGAGATATTACTCAATTTGTCATGTTTTGATAAATGTGCGGTGATGAAAGGAAAGTATAATAAATAATGATTCGCCAGGTTGGCATCAGATCAACGATGTATCTATGTGGAATGTTTCGTTTTGAGATGTATGCCAAGCAGATATGCAGCAACGGAACCAAATTACTGATCATATAAATTTATGCTAAAATGATTGTTTCTTCAAGAATAAGGTATTTTATTTAGTGTCGAAGCGAAATTAAGAATCGGGACTCTCCATATGCTTTATTTTGTGCAGAGGGGGGGGGATCAAATGCACATGCGTAAAGCCTACGAGAAAATGTTGGTTTTTGAGGTCTGAATTTTAGATCATTCCAGATAATTGACGTCCGGATTTTGGACTTTGTACTGTATTTCAATAATAATGTATTTAAAATTTATTAGTACTGTTATAATAAAAAATATCTCATGTTTTTTCATGGCGCCTAAAAATCTTTCACTCAGACAACTTCTCCAATAATAAAAGCAATGAAAGATACTGTGATAAAATTTCAGCAGAAATATAGAATTCTGACACAAAATCTCTAAAGTGAGCGTTGAGAAGATGTATTTGATCATTTATACAATGACAAGTTTTTCTTTTAAGTAGATTTTGCAAATGTTTTCTTTTAAGTTTGTTTTTTAAGTAAAAACAGATCTCTGGTGATTTTTTTAATGAATCATGTAAATTTTACTTAGCAATTAGAATTGTTTTAAATTTCTAAAGTACATTGTTTGGAATAGCTTGCACCCGATAAATAACGTTTAACTTTTGTCTGATAAGCAACTTTTACATCTGTAAAAAATTTCCAAATTAGTTGTATTAATATGTATGCACCCATTTTTGGTTTATGCTGTATACATTTACTTTTTCTAGTCTAAAAATGTGAACATTAAGATATATTTTTTTTATTGTTTCTAATTTTGTAATTATGTAGGAATGTGCTTAATGTTAAAGCATTTGCACAAATTGGATGTGTATTTAATTGCTGAATGTTTGATAAAGTAATCCATTTTTAGCTATTTGATCAAACTAGACATTTGAAATCCTTTTGAGTCTCAAATCATTGAGTTTTCTTTAATCAACAGCTTAAATTTAATTTTTATTTGCTTTTAAAATACATTATTGTGAGTTAGTGCAAAATATTTTTTAGCTCTAAAAGTACACACATGGTGATGCTGAAGCTCAAATCACTGGAGGAATATGAAAAAATGCCACTTACAACATGGAATATAAAACAGCCTGATGCAGAGGATGATGACAGAGAAAATGCTTTATTAACAGGTTTGTTATATAGAAAACATATAAAACACCATAAATAAAGGAATCCAGTTATGAAAGTTTGAAAGTGTATTTTCCGTTTAATTTAATTTAGCATATTTGAACTGAATATAGTCTTTTTGTTTTTAAATTGCTTAGTCTATAAAATGTAATGAAATATATTTTCTTGGGATTTCAAAGTTTACTTTCTGTTTTTACTCAGTTAGATAGATACCCTTTCAAGCATGATACTATTGCCAGGCAGCATTGTTTAGTGCCAGTTATAGATAAGCGTGATGTAACAACACACTCATAACATCTGCACTTTCATTTGATGTAACCCCCCATTGATTTTTGAAAAGCTACTTTTTGCATTTTACGAACAAGAATATAAATTACCTGTTATTGCTATAATTTTTCCTTGCATTTTGGGAAAAAAAAAATTTTTTTTAAAAATTCAAATTTTAGTCCTGGATTTTCCAAAACATCAAGGAGTAGATGTTTCAGGTTATGCAATCTTACTTTCAGAGAAAATGTGTGTTTAACCCGCGAGCACACGCGGCGGGTATGACATACCCATGTACATTTTTCTTTTTGTATATTTCTCGCCCATTCTTTCATAAAAGGACGAAACTTGGTGTAGCTGAGTTCAAGGTCGCATACTTAAATGGGGGAAATTGCTGAGGTAGCAAATGCAACGGTTTTTTAGGACCAGCATTGTTCGGACATGTCATACCCGCGCGTGTACTGGCGTTTCTCAGTGAGTCACTTCGCACTTCTCGTTTTCAAGCTTTTACTATAAGTTTTTCTTGAGTTGTAAGCATGGCGCCGTATATCCCTTACGATGAAGAGATAGATGAAAAGTTTGAGAAATCTGCTTGAAACAGTTTCTTCTGATGAGGATTCATTTAGTGAAGAAGAGGAAGATGTTGATGACAAAGAATATAATTAGTAATCATGATTCATCCATATAGCGTAGCGAATCAGATACAGAAACAGAAAATGAAACTCTGGAATGTAGCAATGAGTTCCATGTTGGGAAAAAATGGAGTAAAATGGAACAAAAATAAATTCCGGACTAATGTTAGAATTGGCGCCCAAAATATTATAACTAAACTCCCTGGAAATACAAAAGTATTCTAAAGACTTCTCAACACCTTTAGATTCCTGGTCATTGCTTGTCGCTTATCAATGAAGATATGTTAAAACATGTAGTTGATGACAATAAAAATATTTATATTGATTCAATACGAGAAAATTTCACTCGTGAACGGGATGAGTACTTTTCTCAAAGCCTTATGGATGCAGCTAATAGAATATGTTCAAAATGAACGACGACGAGCATCTGTGGTTCCTGATTCTGGACGAACACTGACCACCGATGAACATGTTAACAATGGACCGCCCTCCAAAAAACCTAAAATGACTTACAAGAGGTGTACAAAGTGCTCCAAGAAAAAAGATAGAAAGACTAGATTCATTTGTGAAAATTGTAGCAAAAGTATATGTATGGAACATATCACCTCATTTTGTAAACAATGTTAAAAAATTGTAAGTAAATAATTTTTCCTCTCCTTATTTTTTCCTATTTTGTCTAAAATGAAGTATTAACTTGGTTTTACATTTTAATTTCTTTTAAAAAACTGATTAATTTTTTTCGGCAAATTTTTATTTACAACTTTTTTATTCGGGTATGATACCTGGCGCGTGTTCTCGTGTTCGTCGGATCGGTGCATGTGCTCGCGGGTTAATGAATATAATATAGTCAGCCGATTATGGCTAACAAAATGGTAATACATTATACCAATTACCAAGAAGTGTGTACTTATGCTTTCTAAACAGATCTTTCAGTAAAATCGGAAAGCCTAACAAAATAGCAGATATCCAACAAAGCAATTTTAGGAAGTGCAGAAATGAAACAGGTCGAATAATGATTATTTATTAAATAAAGAGGCCAAGTTCCTACAAAATTCTGGAGAAACAATTGGCAGGATTTCCACCAACTTCCATGGTTCACTGGCAGCCAACTTTCATGGCCAGTGGGACATATAAGTACTTTATTGTACTAAATGATGGAATATCTAACTGCAATTGGGCCCAGTTTTGAATCTCAGAGAAGCCAAGGATGTTTGTTAGTGCATGGTGTGTGGCATTGGGAACTTAAAATACTGTCAAGTTAAAAGTATTCAAAAGATTAAAGAACAATCTCCTATAAGATGTCCAAGCTAGTGTTTCCCAAACTGTGTTCTGCAACAATCTAAATTATGCATAAATTAGCAGTAAAATATTTGCAGAATGTATTTCTATTGGTGTTCCTATGTGTCACTTTAGTATTTTAAAACTTAGTTTTCTTTGGCTTTTTTATTTTATTTTATTTTATTTATTTTCTTTTTTAAACTGATAAATACATATAAAATTTTTGCTAATATTAAATATTTTTACTGTTCAAAATACTATTGCTTAAAAAATTAATATTGTAGTTAAAATTTTTTTAAAAATTATTATTGTTTAAAAAATTAATATGACACTGTAATGGAGATATATCAGAATGCTCTGGATTTCTACTGCAGGTAAATAAATTTTGAGCCCTTTCCTAAATTAGATGATTTTTTAAATGAAGAAAATGAAAAAGTAGACCGTAAAATTTACAATGAAATTTTACAACAGTTGCATGACTTGCAGTCGATATTTCCTGTAGGGCCAAAAAGAGAATTATGGGGTTTGAAATACTGCCACGACAATATCTAAGTCGACAGACATCACTACACTGAATTTTAAAAAAAATTGATTGATTTGATGACTTCTGACATAAAGCAAAAATGTAAAGAACTACTGTTAAAGTGAATTTTTGATAAGTTAATCAAAAGAAAAAATATTTGAAATTATCATTACTTATATTTTGTATCATTTTGTGAGAGCATATTTGTATGAGATAGGTTTTTATATTACACTGTAGTAAGATCCAAATATAGAAACTTAATTGATGCAGCATTTGATATAAATATGTAGGCTTCTAACAATATACCTGACATTAAAAGACTTTGTAATTCAAAAACTCAGATAGGCCAGAATCATTGAAAAATAAAAATGTTTTAGTTGTACTACATTATTTATTTCATTTAATTAGTTTTATGTATCTTTCTTTTGCAAAATTAACTCTCAAGTACCACCTCCATAAAATGCAATGCTCTTAAACCATGTTTCACTCTCTGTTCATTTCATCTGTAGCTGTCATTGAGAACATTTATTCCAGATCAGGTTTCAAATTTCTAGTCTCTTTATTTGTTAGATAATTAAGTACATTTTAAGTATTCATTTGCTTAATGTTTATTGTAAGTATAATATTATTGTTCATATTCACACCATGTACATCCTTGTGTGCAGAACTTTTTATTGGCTTTTCTTATCTTCAGCTTTTGCTTTCTAATAATGAAACACTTTTAGATATGTAATAAAACTTTTGAGCCAGAAATGGCCCATCTTCAGTCTTTATTTGATGAAGTTGAAATGATTATGATTGTGAAACAGTAGACAGCAATGATAAAATAGACCATAATTTTTTTACCTAGATGTCGCATTAAATTTTACAGAATTTTTAATAATTTTAATGAAAATATTATAAGATAGTTTTAGAAAAATATATAAGTAATAAATCATTTATGTATAGGAAAGAAAAAATATCTAATGATAATTATAAAATTATTTAATAACAATTATATTTTAATGCAGAAAAATAATCAAGTAATGATTAAATAAATTTTTTGCATTTTAATATATTAATTTACATGTATTTGAGCAATTTTGTATTTGTATTGATATTTGTGTATAGTTATATGATAAAATGAATCGTCAAAAATTAGAATCTGTGTAGATATACTCTACAAAACGTATTTCAGGCAGTAATTTAAGAAAAGGGTATCTTGATGGTAGTGGTCAAATATACTTCACATGTCTCTTCGTGTATGACAAAAGAGTGCACATCCTTCTGGATTAAGAAGTGTAAATAATTTATGGGTATGATACAAAAAATTGAAATAAATATTTATTTTGTTTTTCTCTATATGTATCATTTATTATGACTAAAAACCAAAATTTACTGTAGTGTTCCGTAAAGATTTTGGAAATTAAAAAAGTTGTTTCACACTAAGAAAAGTTGGGGAAATGCTGACCTGATATATCTGCATTATCATTTATTATATTTGAAAATCAAAATTTACTCTAGTATTCTTTAAAAATTTCAGCTCTTAAGTTAATTCATAAGGAGAAAGTTTTGGGAAACACTAAGCTGATGATAGGTGCAGCTATGTGGCTTTTGACTATGATAAAAATTTAGACTTGGATCTGATGTTATTGTCTGCTAGGGGGCTGTTTCTTGACAGATGAGGTGAAGGCAAATTAAAGTTTAAAATTCTTTGTTTGAAATGGACTGTAGGTTTCACAAAATGCAAACATATTTAAATCTACTATCTAATTATTATTTAATTCAACAAACATTTCTTAAATCCAGTGCCCCATTCGAGAGCATTTAGGTTGACCGTGTTACCTTTAGTCTAATCTCCATCCAGACTAAAACTTGGCAAAAAGTTAAACCTTGAAATGAAACAGAGTTGTGCCAAGAAGAGTGTCAACATCCTGCTCACGTTGTAATGACGAGTAGACTTTACATCAGTTAAATATAAGCATTTAAATCATTAAAACACTTTCAAGTTAAAACAAGTTTTACAAAATTAGATGTTATTACAATGATGCAATCTCACTTATAAACAACAGTATACAGCTATTTGAAAATGTAAAATCTATACAAATAGCACATTTATATCACTATTTATCTTAATTTACAAATGGTAGCAGTTTTATTACTGGATGCTGATATGTTCAAATTCTATTTCTAACTGACAACATTTTCGTTACCCTTGTGTGTTTTGACAATTTGTGCAAGATGCCATGACATCACTGTCTTTAAATCTTACTAGTCCTCTAGACCATTTCGGTCTTTGTTGAAGCCTATTTAAATATTCACTTGA